TAGGGAAAAGACAGTACACCTCACTGAGATAAGGATGGAGAGAGAGGTCGGTGAATGGTAAGTGAAGCTTGCCTTCCTGATGCAGAGTACAGGCTGCCATCTCAACAGAGCTCAGGGCCCATGCAGCCGCATACACCATTTATCACAAAACCAGAAAGTTAAGTCTTTCCATAAGTAGCTACTGAAGAACTGTAATAATGTGCCCCCAGAATTGCTTCTCCAGTGTGGAAAGCTAACCTGGACCAAGTTTTGTTTGGTTTACAGTTAAAGAAGTTGGGATGCTAAGCCCATTAAATCAAAGCTACACTAGATGCCATCAGCTGAGGATCTCCTGGTAATATGAGGATGGCTTAGGAGACCTGAGCTGTTATTGGAAGGGCAGCAGAAAGAGTTCAAAGTGCTCAGAGATAACAAGAGGGAGGGAGAGTTCATAAAACCTATTTGAAGCAATGGAGCAAGTTCATTTATAATCTCCCCCTCTCTCCCCTACCCAAATTTACTAAATATTAATAATGAAAGGAAACATTGTAAGTGACATATAAAATGTAATTATTTGTAAATACAGAGATGTGAAATCTAATTTTTTTTCTATAGCATACCATATATTTCAGATAGGTAGTGTATTTCTTCTTTTCCAGATGGTTTAGAGTAGTGAACCACACGGCTTGGTTTTGTTTTCTTTTTCTTTCTTTTTTTTTCAGTGTAGGTAGGGCTTATGCCAGAAACTTACAAATGGAGAGCTTGTTGTGGTTTACTACAATGGCAAACACAAAGTAACCAAAAATCGACACAGTTCTGTTTCTGCAGTTCAGATTTGTGATGCATTGTGACTTGTATTTAGACAACATCATAATGTTATTTAGCAACAAAGTCAGGAAATCTCAGGTTTTTTTATTACATAATGCATACTTTCAGTATGAAGACAATCCTGAAAACTAACACATCTGACAGTTGCTTGAATTTGTTGTCTTTTTAAATATTCTCTGTGTGTGTGTGTGTGTTGTAAATCATAGTTTACAGTTTAACTCTTTCATTACTTGTAGTCACAGAAAGGGAAACTGATGCCAAGCCCAGTAGACTTCACAATTACTCCTGAAACTTTGCAAAATGTTAAAGAGGTAAGGGTTTTCATATTATTTTATTTTAAATGTAATGCTTGTGTGATTCTGAGTGGGAACAAGAGAGGAATGATTAAATGCTGCCCTGCAGATAACCAACTTTTTCCCTCCCCTTTTCTCCTTTTTTTATTTTTGTAAGCAATAAAGTGATTCTGCCTGATCTCTTGTGATAGTGGTGACTAATGTAATGTGGAACTTTGTTCAGTAATGGTTAAACATTTTTCAGAATGAAAGATGGCAGTGAAGCAAGGGAAAACATTCTATACCATGTGTAGCCAAGATCCTTTAAAAATGTATACTTTGATCCTTGGTTATACCTTTTTTTTTTTTTTTTTACAGCCCCATGTGACTTTTGAGAAGCCTGTAGGAACAGTAGTAGCTGTCTTGGTCATTCAGCTTTCTGAACACTGGTTTCTGTTTGACCGCTGAAATCTGTGTTCTGTTTTTCCAGATTTTCCTGTTGTGCTCTTGTTGTTTCCTGCCTTACGTCTCCCCTCTGCATCCCCAGTTTGTCTTCCATTGCTCTTAGTCCCAGACTTCTGAATTTACACCTGTTCTTCCACTTGTTTCTCAAAACAGACCTCTTAATCAGCTGTTTGGTTGTTTCATGCTATTGTTGACCTTATTCTACATATTCACAGAATCATTGTGGTTGGAAGGGACCTCTGGAGATTGGTTAGTCTAGCCCCTGTGCTCAGAGCAGAGTCATCTAGAGCAGGTTGCTCAGGGCCATGTATAGTCAAGTTTTCAGTATCTCAAATAATGAAGACTTGCCACTGCTCGGCAATGTTACAGTGTTTGACCGCCCTCACAGGATTAAAAAATGAATAAATAAAAAAATTAGAAGTAATTTCCTTTATTTCGATTTGTTCCCGTAGCCTCTTGTCCTTTCACTAGATACCACTGAGAGGAGTCTGACTCCATCTTCTTTACTCCTTCCCATCAGGTATTTACACATATTGATGAGATCCCCCTGAGCCTTCTGTTCTGCAGGGTGAACAATCCCAGCTCTCAGCCTCTTTTTGTATGTCATGTGCTCTTAACCATCTTCATAGCCAAATCCAGCAAAAGCTGGACTTCCTCCAGTAAGTCTGTGTTTCTTGTACCGGGAAGTGCTGAACTGGACACACTACCCCCAGTTTTCTCACCAGTGCTGAAGAGATGGGGAGAATCACTTCCTTCAACCTGTTGGCAACACTTTCTAATGCAGCTCAGGATGCTGTGGGCCCATTTGTTGGCAGCGCACCTATCTGGTTCACCAAATGCTTCTTCCCTTCCAACTTTGTGTTATCTGTAGACTTGCTGAGGATGCACTCTGTCCCATCACCCAAGCCATCATTGAAGATATGAAGTAACAGTGGCTCTGATACTGACCCCAGTCACTGATGTACGCTGCTAGTGACTGGCCCTCAGCTGGACTTTGTGCTACTGATTGCAGAACTTTGAGTCCAGCAGTTCAGGCTGTTACCAGTCCACCTCAGTGTCTTATCTGTACATCTATTCTGTACTCCATCAGTTTGTCAGTGAGGTTGTTAGGAGAAAGAGTATCAAAAACAGCACTGAAGCCAACATAAACAGTATCTGCTGCTCTCTGCTTGCCCACCAAGCTAGTCATTTCATCATAGAAGGCTGTCAGATTGGTTAAGCATGATTTTTGCTGACTGCTGCCAATCACTTTCTTGTCCTTTATATGTTTGGAAATGGCTTCTGGGGTGATTTGCTCCATCGCTTTCCCAGGGATTGAAGCAAGGCTGACGAGCCTATAGTTCCTCGGATCTTCCTCACCGAAGAGAATAGTGACATTTACTATCCTCCATTCCTCAGGAACATTCTTTGTTCATGGCAGCCTTTCAAAGATAATCAAGACTGGCCTCGTGGTGACATGGGCCAGTTTCCTCAGCACTTGTGGGTGCGTCCCATCAGGTCCCATGGACTTGCGTACATCCGGTCTGTTTAAATGTTCTCTAACCTTCTCCTCCTCTACCAAGGATAACTCTTCCTTGCTCCAGACTTTCCCTGTGGTTGCAGGGGCCTGGGATTCCTGAAGGCAAATCTTATCAGTAAAGTCTGAGGCAGAGAAGACCTCTGTATTTTTCATGTCTTTTGTCACTAGGTCCCCTGCCACATTCAGTAGCAGGCTGACATTTACCCTCGTCTTCCTTTTGCAGCTGGTAAACTTGTAGATGCCACTTTTTGTTCATGTCTCTTGATTTAACTCCAGGTGGGCTTTGGCTTTCCCAAAACCATCCCTGCACAATTGGATAGTTTTTATGTTCCTCCTGGGTCACTTGATGCTACTTCCATCTTCTGTATACTTCCTTTTTATGATTTTGTCAGTAGCATGTTGTTCATCCATGCAGGTCTCTTCCTACCTTTGCTTGACTTTCTGTGTGTTGGAATAGACCATTCTTGAGCCTGGAGGAGGTGATTCTAGAAAATCAACCAGCTGTCATGGCTAAACTCTAAATCCAGCTGAGCTAGAGGATGAGCAGGTTGTGTCCAGCAGCGTCTCATGTCTCTGGAGACTGCTGCACACTGAAAGCATATGCTTTTCCAAATATAAGGATATAATAACTATTCTTGGCGGTAAAATTACTTTTGAGACTACTGCTAAATACTAAGCTCTCAGCAGTCTGCTCTGCCTATGAACCATGCTTCCAAATAAATTATTTCCTCTTTCTCTTCTGTATCTGGATACTCTCTACTCATGGGCTTAGCAAAGACTCAGTGATGTACATCATGAGAAAGTCCTCCCTTAAAAGCTCTTTCTTAAGTTTAATAGCAGACCCTGTGCCTTTGTCTATTTCAAGTACACAATCACAACAGTAGGTTCTAAAACTTCTGACATCTCTGATCCAGCAGATCTTGGTATTTAATTGTGGACCTGTCAAAAGAATGGTATTGGATGTGCAGCACAAGCAGTGGCTTTTTTTTTTTTTTTTTAATTCCTGTCTCTGTCTCAGAAAAATGTGTGGGTCTGAAGTGACTACCTGGTGGGCAGGTAGAAAAATTCACTGTTTTGGTATATCTAAAATACTAAAATTTAAATTCTCTGCTTGTCTGGAGATTGTGACTGAACTATAATTTCTGGCAGACTACTAGAAAACTGATTAGGGGGTTTGCGGTAGCCAAGCAAAGCACAAAGAGGTTAGATGAAAAACCAGGATAGATTTGCTTGTATGTTTTTGATTCTCATTTTTGGGGGATTATGAAATAGAGTGTAAATGATAGGTCCTGTGAAAGACCTAGCTAGGATTAAAATATGAAGAGTACTGACAAGAGTAGGAAGGCTTTAGGGGAAATATACCCTTAAAAAAACAAGTCTCAATTTGAGGAAAATGGCCTCGAATTCTCATTCTGCAAGTTCCTTTAGGAAGTTCCTTTAGGAACTAAGTTCTCCTTAGGTTCCTGACCACTGGGGGATAGCTAAATGATGTCCCTGTGAAGCAGGGAAGCAACTCTGTGTTTACTAATAGTGGTGATGAGAAGAACCTGCGAGGGATCATAAAATAAAAAAGCACTTTACTAATACATTATTAGGACTCAATATTTCATAGGGTGGTTTTGTAAGGGATGTAACTTCTGCTATTTAAGTTAGGAGAAAATACCCGTGAGGTCACGTTTACTAAACACATGAAAATTCCTCTCTCTTTATTTCCCCCAAAGATTTGGTTTGAGTTTAACAGCTACATTCTGCAGAGGTGTTGGGTATCTGAAACAGTCTAAACAATAGCTGAGGAGAACTTTTCTGCCATTGCTGCTGGCAGTCAGGACTAAGAAGCAAAACAAACAGATTGGGAGGAAAAAAGTTTGCGGCAAGAGAGTTGGTTTGGAAGAAGGGAAAATCGGTTACATGGGCAAGGAAATCTGACGCCACAAGCAAGTATGAACAGATGGTTGGAAGGTAGGGGCTAACGTGAAAGACGTCAGTAACAAAAAATTGAGGTGGGAGAGAAGAATAAGGCTTGCAAAACAAGGGGAAGGTTAGAGCAGGATGCTCAGAGTTTGAAGAAAGTTGGATGATGAAGATACGAGATGAAGCTGTGGGTAGGAAACTTGACTGTTTCAGTATGCCTCCTGCCAGAACTTGAAATGTAACTGGAGCTTCTGGCATATGAGTTTCTCTGCTGGCAGAGAGTATCTGTGATGCCTGCTGGCCTGAAAAAGGGGAGGAGGGCAGGGGGAGCAAAACCCCTGCTCTGGTCTTTTACAGAAACTGATTTATAGACGGTCATCCTTGATTGGCTATTCTTACTGCTCCTTTTTCAAAAAGTAGGAAACGTGCTTGCTGTTAAGAAAGTTTTAAAAGTGTGATCCTGTATTCAAATTAAGCTCTTTATTAATTGTCCTTAATTGGTGTCTTGGTACATAAGCAGTGTGCTATGTCTTGCATTAAACAAAGATTTTTAAATGCCTGTCTTCTATGCCAATAGTGGCCATGAGAGAGAAATTTAAAAAGGTGGGAAAATCACTGAAATGATAGGCTATACTGTAACCTAGAACAAAATGGGACCACAATGCAGTTCTCTAGAGCACCACCAGCTGATTTAACTTGACCATCCTGTTAGTTTCTGCCAGCCTACTTCCTTTACCACGCGGTTCCCAACTTCTGGATTAATTGTAATAGCCAAGATTCGCCAGTTCATCCCAGGAAAAATGCTCCTGTGAATGGAATGAGTAGGGGAGATGCATGTCAGGGGGGAGGGTAGTAAGAGATATATTAATGCATCTGCATAAGGATGCATATTTAAGGAGTTATATTATTTAAGTTACTTGAGGCATTTCTGAATTTTTGAGTTCTTAACTTTGCAAATTTGGGGGATTTCCTATATACTTTGATAACTGTCTTTCTGTAAGGTATTTTTTTTCTGAGTCTGTTCTTACAGCTATGTTGTCGTCTGTTTTTTGTTTTGGTTTGGTTTGGGTTTTTTTTCCCCTCCCTCCCAATCTTTGCAGAGAGCTTCACTTCCAAAATTCCTCATCAGAGGTCATCTCAGTTCTACAAACTGTATCATCACACAGCCACTAACAGGGGAGCTGGTAGTGGAGAATGCAGAGGCTGCAGTCAAGAGTATTGAGCTGCAGTTAGTACGTGTGGAAACCTGTGGTAAGTTTCTCTATAAATGGAATATGTATCGACTGCAGTAATTATCACTTGCACTCCTTCAGCTTAAATAGGAAAAACTGTCAAAAGCCATACAATTAAGAAGACTTGCAAAAAATTGTTTTGCATTTTCATTGGAACAGTCCGAACATTAAATAATCTCTATGATCCTTAACGCAGAGTGCTAATGTGAAAACTTGCGGGTCAAAGGGCAAAATGTTTTGCCCGCACATACCCCCCATGCCTCCCCAACCCCGGTGTGTCTTTGTTTTAAATTTTGGCCACTG